TTATAGTGAGCGTGAACTGCGTATCTCATCTGCGAGCGACAATAGAAGTCGTCATGATTTTGCGGCAGTAACAGGACGAGTGGCGAGGCAGGCCAGCGTCTATGCGAGACGAAGGATGAGAGGGGTAGCAGGCACCGCCCCATACCGTGCAGGTCAGCTCCTGCAGCTACCCTGCAACCATTCGTCGTCGAACAAATCGAAGCGAGATGCGCCACAACACTCAGCCTCCGTGAATATGACATGTAGGGTCGCCATCGTGTACATTATCGAAACTTTTCCGGGCTGAACGTGCGCGAACCTTGTTACCTGAAGCAATCTTGCTGAGCTACAAGCTAGTCGACTGCTCAAAGCGGCTGTGTCATGATCCAGCCTGTGTTGTTGATGGTACCTACGTAGATTCTTCTGGGTCGATAGGTGCGCAGAAATTCTGTCGCTGCTGAAACTATTGCCCAGAAATAGCTTGCCTGGCCTGGTGAAAGCCAGACATAATGAAGATGCAGCGAAGATCGGTTGCGAAAATGATGTGGTGTTGCTCGTCATGAATAGGATCGGGAAGTAGCTTTCCTCCGGGCATGACGCCCTAGCCCAAATTCGGCGCAGCACTAACAATCAGAATAAACACGGGTTCCGTCCTGCCAGTACTCCGGATACGACACGACATGACATTGGAATGAAGAGAAAACATAGCTACCTTTAACTCAGACTGCTGCATGCAACGGCAGAAAACCGCTTGGCTGGCTTCATCATGCATATGCGACGCGTCGTCAGATCCATCTCCAGTCTCGAGAACGCCAATGCCGTCCATCAAGCTCACCAAATTCACCACTTCATCATCAATATTGCCGACGATGCTATTGGAGAGACTGCGCTTTTGATGTATTCGGTCGCATAACAAGACGAACGCGATTTCACGGCCCTTTTCGTCGGTGCTTCCCACACCCATCAACCTTACACAGCCTGACTACACCATCCGGCACATTGTCGCATCCTCTCAAGTGAGTAAGACGCTCATGCTTCGCGCAATCGAAGCTCTAGTCTCTCACACAATCACATGTGGGCTCTTCCTCGGCAACATTCGGCGCGTCAAGCTTGCAAAAGCCATACGTCATGGCGTCAACGCCGACTTCCGTTGGTCGACCCGCAAGCACCCGGCGAGTGGGTGGGTGTCGATAAATAAAACTTTAGTTTGATAACACTCCTTTGGTTCAATATTCAAGGATTGCAATTGACACTTTGATTGTCAAGACTAAACAATGCTGTCGCCGGCTCGTATGTCGCTGCTGCCGGGTGGTGTTAGGGAATTGGTGTCTTCACCTGCCATGAGGTCGCGTACGGCATCGCTATGTCGGACAGGAGCTTTGATAAGCGCAAAGCATGGAAAGAGCTTGGAACAAAAGCGGATGATCACCATTGAGCAATTGGATAAGAGGAGAGATAGTACGTTGTTCTCTTTGCTCAGCGTACCTCTTGTACAACACCCCAGCTACTAACAACCCCATCCCAGACCGCGAGCGCGTAGTCATTCTAGGATCCGGCTGGGCGGGCTTCACAGTCGCCCGCAGTCTCGACTCCTCCAAGTTCCAAACCCTCGTCGTATCGCCACGGTCCTACTTTGCTTTCACGCCCCTCCTTGCCTCCACCGCAGTCGGCACCTTGGAATTCCGAACCGCGCTCGAACCTGTGCGCAGCCGACGAACCAAAGTCGATTTCTTCCAGGGATGGGCCGACGATGTAGATTTCAAGAATAGAACTATTACGATTGAAGAGGCGGTTGACGACCCGAAACAAGGTGTTGCACTGACCACGGACCGACATGCTGGGGAGACAGCGGAAGAGAGGGAGGCGGAGAAGAAGAAGGAAGCGAAAGTAGGGAAGCTGTTTGATGTGGAGTACGACAAGTTGATTGTGACGGTGGGATGCTACAGTCAGACATTCGGTACGCCGGGTGTGAAAGAACATGCCTTCTTCCTCAAAGACGTAGGCGACGCGCGCCGAATCCGAAATCGCATTCTAGCCTGCTTCGAAGGCGCTGCTCTACCCACCACCTCCATCGAAATGAAGAAGCAGCTCCTCAACTTCGCCGTCGTGGGCGGTGGACCCACCGGCATCGAATTCAGCGCGGAACTGCACGATCTGATCAACGAGGATATGAAGAAACTGTACCCGGAACTTGTTCAGTATCACAAGATTACTGTTTACGATGTCGCGGAGAAGGTGCTTCCTATGTTTGATCAGAAACTCGCGGGTTATGCGATGCAGAAGTTCAAGCGTAAGGGCATTGATATCAAGACGAGCCATCATGTTGAGGAGTTGAGGCCGGGGGCGCCTGCGGAAAGGAGCTTCTCAGATGATGTGGATGACTATCACTTGTATACGCTCAAGGTGAAGGAAGAGGGTGAGATTGGTGTGGGCATGTGTGTATGGAGTAAGTCTCCCTTCTTTTTCCTTCCCCCGTTACCACACTCCTTTCAGACGCACTCGATAACAACACTAACCCCACCCCCAGGCACAGGACTAATGCAAAACCCCTTCGTCGACCACGCCCTTTCCTCTGTCCGCGAAGCACCAACCGACCTCTACCTCCCCTCCTCCTCCTCCTCCCCATCTCCCAAATCCACCACTCCAGGCAAAGACGTAAAATGGATAGTAAAGAAAGACTCCAAATCCGGATCCATCATAACCGACGACCACCTACGCGTCAAACTCATCCCATCTACTTCCACCCCAGAAAACTCCGAAGAAAAAAGTAAGCAAGAAGCAGTCCACCCCTCCGTCTTCGCCCTCGGCGACTGCGGAATAATCGAATCAACAACCTACCCTGCAACCGCCCAAGTCGCGTCCCAAAAAGCCTTTTGGTTGGCAAAACGGCTCAACAACGGTTCTCTATCCACTCCTCCTTCTCCATCATCAAAGGGCTTCACATACCGCGACCTGGGCACACTAGCCTACATCGGTAACTGGAACGCGTTGTTCCAAGGCGGCGGCAAATGGGGTGGCAGGTTGCAGGGGTATGTGGCGTGGATTATTTGGCGGGGAGCGTATTTGACGAGGACGGTGAGTTGGCGGAATAAGGTGCTTGTGCCGGTTTATTGGGTTGTTAATTGGGTTTTTGGGAGGGATGTTTCGAGGTTTTAGGGGGGTGGGTATGGTGTAATGTGTAGGAGTGAGCTTTGGTTTGGTTGGTTAAGGAATTGTAGAGATGGAATCGGTGTCTACTCAGTCTTAGTCTTATTAAGTAAAGAGATGTAAGCGCATGTACAAGATACTTGCATGATATGCATTCCTTTCAGATCAATTCATATGCTTTGTGTTGTAACCACATAGGCAGTAAGCAATCTAACATACCGCCGAAGAGACATCTGCAATAGCAATGCACATGGGTATCCCATAACCTCCCGAAGACCCAACCAACCCATATCCTCCAGAAAAGAAAAACGCCCATAGCAGACCTCCCCCAAAGCACATCTCACTTCTTCGCACCCCCCAAGTACCCCACCACATCCCCCGCCCTCTCCAACCTCGCCCTCGTCTCCGGCAACCCCTTGTTCAACCTCTGCAACCCCGTGACCGCTCTCTCCCAATTCCTCTCTACCTCCCCTTGTCTCTGCAGCGCCTCCACCCCAGCCACATCCCCATCCCCATTCGCAGCAGCAGCAGCATCCTTCTCCATACTTTCTTGTAACGCCGCCCACACCCTCTCCTCCTCTTCAAACCCCTTAATCCACGTCTCCGCCGCAACTTTCGGCGTCGTCCTCCGTTGCTGGCTTATCTTCGCAATGAGCGCATCGCGTTTCGCTACTGTAGCAGATAGTTGACTCCGCAGTTTATCGTCGAAAGGTTCGTATTCCACTGTTTCAACCATACTTTCTCCTTCCCCTTCCCCTCTTCCCCCTCCACTTCCTCCTACACCATGTTGGTTGACAACCCCATCCATCCCCTCGCCATCCCCACTCTCCACAACATCAATCCCATTGATGCTAACGTTATGCCTTATCCCCTGCAGCACCTTCGCCACAAATATCTCGACGAGGTCCTCGACCGAGCGCCGTAGCTCATCTGGCGCATCGCCGTTTGTAGCGCTGGAGGGCACGGGCGGGAGGTGCAAGTCGAGTTTCTGGCGTGCGGCGGTGCGGATCTGGGATGTGAGGAAGGTTAGGTCCGAGGGGGATTGGAGTTCGATTTTGCGGTGGGAGGCGTCCATTTTGGAGTGGTGTGGCAGGCGTGGTGATGGGTGAGGATTGTTGTTGCGCGGGCGCGCTGTGGTGGGGTTTGTGGGGTGAGTGCGCTTTTTTAGTTGGATGGGCGGTTTGCGCGGAGATGTTACTGTGGCTTTTATGAGCGGTAACAGGGTGTTGAGTGGTGGAATGCGGGTCGTCGTTGTGGTGGTCGACTTTGTTATGGTTCTTGTTTGCGAACGCGGAACGTGGACCGCGCGCGTCTTCGACGGCTTATCAGCCTGCCTTATCGGGGCCGAGGTGTGGGGCTGCTGCTCCCTCGCTGCACTCGAACAACGCAGTCGATACAGTCGGAAACAGGATAATGTATCATCAAATGTGATTTGTTTGATTTGAGATACATCCTTATAGATGATTCCTAGACCCTTTAAGGAGCGAATGAACGCATCCCGCAACGCCATAACCCATCCAGTCCATTCTCATGATGTACAACCCTCAAACCAAACGCCCATGATATCCCATACCAAACGCCTCTCCCAACCCATATAAACATAACCTCAATACCGCGTAATCCATAAAATGCCAAAGCATATGCACATCCAGTATCAGGCGCCAGTTCTCGGGAGATTTAGAGTACCACACAATGTGTAGGAGCTCTGCAACTGTAGGGAACCTTGTACGTACAGTTACAAGACGCTCCCTACAATTGCAGAGCTCTCTACAAATTGTGTCGTATCCCAATTTTTCCTGAGAACTGGCGCTTGTATCATGCCCACGCATCTCTGCACAGGCATTCCACCCCGCCCGTCTCACCAACCCAACTTCTTACTCCGGAAACATATTCCTAACCTCCTCATCCGTAACAATAATATCCTTCACAGGATCCTGTCGGCGCTCGAGATCATCGAAGTGGTAATCGACGTAGGAAGGAAGGAACATCTCTGTCGCACACACCGTCATTAGCCCAATTCCATACAACCAACACGCCCATCGTGCAGTCCGTACTCCAAGCCCTCTACACTCTACCGCTGAGAAAGAAGAGAAAAGAGGGAAAACACATACCCATATTCCAATCAAAACCCTGACTAGCCTTAACACACGTAATCAGCCTCAGCGCACCCTCCCCCTCCTCTTCTCCCACATTGATAACAGTATGTTCCTGCCGCGAAAACGTCTCGCTCATCAGACTCTCACGGCGCCGCATACTGCTCGCACCGCTCTGAGGGCTACCAGACGACGAAGAAGACGAAGGTGTGGAGCCATAGCTACCACTACCACCCGCACCACTACTACTGTATGAGAAGCGGTTCGAAGACGGCGTGAAGTTGTAGTTGTAGTTGTGGGTATAGGTATTCGGCGTCGAGGGCGTGGACGCCGCGAACGAGGATGACGACGACGAGGAGTGGTGGTGGTGGTGGTGGTGGTGAGAAGACGCAGGGCCCTTGCCCTTACGCTTGGGTATCGCGATGGCGGTGGATGAGGATGACGACATGGTGGGAGGGAGTTGCTGGTTGCTGGAGAGATAGATGTAGTGGGTGGTAGGTAGGTATGTAATGCAGATAAGGACTAATAAGACCAGACGAGCAGAACAGCCGTTACTCAGTCAATCAGACATACAATTCCCCAAAAGCACCAGAGAACAAGAGAACAAGAGTAGATAGAAGTAGGGAAGAACAACGACAACGAGGAGTAACAGTCATACGCCTCGGACACCCCAAGCACCCCAAGCCCGTCCGCGGTATAGCCCGCACCGCCCAGTCCAAGTCCGCATCGCGTCTGCCTGACTCCTCCCTCCAACCCTAACCTCGCAGCTCCACCGCAGACCCCGGACTCTTAGCCGATCGACAAGCCGCGGACGCAAGTGTGTGTTGCTGTGATTGGCCGCCTACCCCCATTCCGACATTCCGCTCACGCCTCACTGTATCGGCGTGGGGCACGTGTGACAGGCACCCGCTCCGCACCTGGCCTGGCACCGTGGTGTCTTGCGTCTTGCGTGTGCATGAGGCGGCCACGGGTGTGTTGCGTGGTTGCCATCTCGCATGATGCATGCATGCATTAGGCACTATTATACTGTAGGTGTAGGGGAAGTGTAGGGGAAGTGTACCTGTTATCTATCTGCTTATCTATTTTGACGATGTAGTGTCGACTGTTGAAGCCGACGCCATCCGGTGCGGTTTCCGCTGTCTTGATCTTGTGCATTCATCATTCTGGCTATCATCGGATTGCACATGCCAGAGCCGCGATTGCGATTGCGAATATGTGGGGGAGAATCAGGTCATTCGGGTACTGTGGGCGAGACAGGTGACGTAGCGACAAGGGAGGCGTTATCGCATGTCGGTCCGTACCTGACGTGCGCATCGAAACAACGCATGCATATCCATGCTGCACCACTGAGCTGTTCATCAAGGTGATAATAGTCTTGTTAACATCACACACACGAGCACCACACAAGTCGAAGTATCAAAATGACGAGCTACAAACGCTCAATTCAATTGGAGGGACAAGATAAACCACACACCAGCCCACTCTGCATCAGTCGGCAACCGCGCAGCTTGCTTCCAAAAAAACACCATCGCATACTCGCATACGCGTTCCTATATATCGTACAAAACCAACTGTGGATATCGCTCGTGTGTTTCGCTCGTGTGTTTCGCTCGCAAGAACGACTCTGATAAAAACTGCCAATCAAAACAGCAGCGAGGTAGGAACTTCGGATACCTGCCGACGAACTCGTAATTAGTAGCGAGAGACTTTGAAAAGGTTATGAGAAAAAGCACATGAACAACAAAAAAGGACTGCATAACCTCCATAGTAAACAGAGCGCGCTAGAAACCAAAAACAAAACAAAACCATCGGCAGAACAACCACCAAAAAGGAAGTAAACTGCGAAAAACGGAATCAGACATGTCCACCGTATCCTCAGCAGCAGCCCAAACCAGTCCTTTCACCGGGGGTGGGGGTATCCTCGAAAATATAGGAGATTGCGCCCAATATACGCCTGTACTCCGGGCTGATGACTAGATGATTCGTAGAGACGGGTTTTTTTGTTCCGCGTTGTTGTTGGGTAGTAGTAATGAGAAAGGAATCGGGAAATGAGTGTAGGTAGATGGTGTCGGGGCGTCAAACAGCAGGAAAGACGTAGTAATAATCGGGGGTATCGTATCTTTTTCGTGACGTGGTGTACGCAATGTCGCGCGCAGGGAGGAGACGAATCTACCATCCCTTCTTACGTGCAAATCGCTTGTTGAGGAGGACCAGTACCTTGGTCACGTTGAACTGGACATATTCGAGGTCCAGATCTTCTTGGTTGTCCTTTTGCATCTCCAGCAGATCGTCGAGCTTGAGGTCGAGCTCGAGAAGACCGCGATTCCGCCCTTTGTAGTGGAGGGAGATGACAAAGGTGCCGGGGAGCGGGCTCGTGAAGTTGAAGTAAATGTTGGCTCTCCTATTCTCCGGGACATTGCTCTTCTGAATCACGCCTTCTCGCTCGAGCTGCTGGTGGGTGAATTTGTAGGGTCCGAGGACTTGGTGTTTTTGCTGTTTCCTTGTCTTGCCTTCAGATTGACTGCGGACGTTGTGGAGATACGACTTGTACGTGTCAAGCTGGCTGACTAGGAAGCCATTGTGGTCGCGGATGGTGCGGAACACTTCCTCGAGCTTCCGTGTCTCTTCAATGACCTTTTCCTTCATGGAACCCAAGTGCACCAGCTCTTGTTCGACCTCGTCTCGGAGCAATGAGAAGCCGTCTTCCTTGTCAATCACGCCAAGATCCTGCAGTTGGCTGAGCAGCTCCATGCTACGGATACCCTTCTTGACCATAACAGAGTCGTTCTTGGTCGTGGCAGCTGCTTCCGCAATCCTGTCGAGGCGCAATGGCCGTCGCGTGATGGACGTGTTGGAAGGGAGCGAACGAAGGATCATGACGAATGTCGACTTGGCTTCCATGAAGAAGATCTCTTCTTGCGTAATATCGAGCGCTGCGGTCAGATCGTCAAGCGGCGTTTCCCATTTGCTGAATAGCGGGAGGTTGATGGCTCTGTTCTCTTTCCGGGGAAGCTGTGCTGGCGCGGAGCCGAGCTCATTGAGAATGACGCCTAGATGCGAACTGTCTTCTTTGGCCTGGTTTTGTTAGTACGGCAATGCGCATGGATGTGTGATTGCTTACCAGTTCAGCTGCATGTCGCTCCAAAAGCGAGTGCGTCGCATACACTTCGTTCAGGGTAATCGAGAGCTCTAGATCCTTCTTAGACAGAGCAACGTAATTGTCCATCTCGAGAGTATCGTAAAAGTCCTGTACCTCGCACAGGTCCAACAGAAACTTGTTGATTCGCTCCTTGTTCTGGTGGATGAACGGCTGCAGCTTGACCATGTATGGCTCCTTGGCATACGATGGCTTGTTTGCGAGATTCTGCAGCATCTTGGCGATATACGTTAGTGTCCGCTTGGGGTTCTCTGCTGGCAGCACATCGATGAGCATGTACGATCTTGGGGTGACGATGGCGGGGTTGATGAAGCGCAGGAAGAAGAAGCCTCCGATGAGAGTGCAAATGGTCTGGTCCTGGGCATCAGGGTACTTTCGTCTCGACAGACTTCGAATCTGCTTGCATATCCATCGGATGCCGTATGGCGTCTCCTCGAGGCCTTTGATGATGGTTGTGAGGAAGTTGTTGGCAATCTCCATGAGCATGTTGACTCGCGGTGTGATGATGTTCTGTACCGTCTCGTTCTCGGCAGCCTGCTCTGCGGTAACGCCCTTGGGCAGGTTTGCGGGAAGGGTTCCCTGGATCTCGAGCTCAGTGACCATCTTCTCGTACACCTTGAGCGGGTTAATCTCAAGATCGAGGTCCTTCAGCTCGATGAGCGAGTTGATGCTGTCCTGCAAGACGACCTTGAGGTAGCTCTGACCGGGTCCTCGGCGGGTGTATGTGGTCATCATGCGCGAGACGGGTGTGTTGGCACGGAGGAGCGAGCTATAATCTGGGGTGTTATCGAATTGATACGTGAGTACAGACTGAGCGAGGTTAGCTGTGATGCGCAAAGCTGGAGGCGCAACCTACCTGGAACATGGTCAAGAGCAAGTGCTCTTCGCGGCTCTCGTACTGGTTTCCGTAGATTGTGAACATGACAGTCTGCAGTAGGGCATCAATCTCGGCCATGGAGACGAGTCGACACAGATGGGCAATATGGCGTGGCTCAGATTGGAGTAGGAAGAGCAGGTTGCCGTACTTCTGCGTCTTCTCGTCGTTGGGAAAGAAGCCTTCCTGGAGTTCGAGGCCGTCTCCCAGGTGGTCGGCGACTTCATTCTGCTGCGGGATAGTCAGTGCAAGCGCGGGGTGTGTGCAGCGTTGGGCGCACCTCTTCCAATGCCATGCGGTTCTGGATCAGCAGGGCTATCCGCGAGTCGAGATAGCGCACATCCTTTTCCAGGACGAAGTTCTTCTTGGACTGCGACGAGATCTTGGCCTTAAGCTCGCGGAGTATCTTCTGAGCTGCGGAGGTTAGTTTATTGTAGTGTATTATGAGGCAATGGCGGCGTACCTCGGGCCAGGTCATCTTCAATCTCGAGCTCCTTGTCTTTGGCGGACATGGACAGGTACAGGGCTGTGACGGAGTAGCGCTTCGACTGGCGCACCGAGCGCGAGCCATCGTGCGACGACATTGTGTTCTGGCGCGAGACGGGGACAAACGACGACGAGGACGACGTCGAGGCGCGCGAGGGGGCATGCAGCATAGAGACGGCCATGGCGGGTCGGGGGAGTCGCGGCGAGAGCGACGGGCAGGGCGGAGACGGCGACTTTGTTTCTTTGTGTGCGCGGTCGCGGTCGGGCGGGTTGGGTCAATCAGCGACGGCGACGGAGCAACGGGGAATTGCAGCGGGAGGGCCCGTCCAGCGAGAGGGCGCGAGAGGTCGACGGGCGGTGCAGGCAGCGTGGGTGTTGGTTGGATTAATTTAGGGGGTGCCTCAGTCACCGGGAGTCGCGACGAGGGCGAGGGGTAGCTCAGACGGTGAGTGGTGGGAGACAATGGGCAGGCTGCGACATTCCAGATGGCGCGACTTCCGCTTCAGATGCAGATGGCAGGAGCGACAGCGACAGTGGCAGTGACGGTGACAGCAACGGCGGGGGTGGGGGATACTTGGTGCGGGAGGTGAGAGTGAAAGTGACTTGCAGGCAGTGTCCACCTAGTACGGTAGAGTAGGAGATGGTCTGAATGGGTGTTTCAGTGTCTTGCAGAGTGGAGAGGGCCAAGCATGTGGAGGCCGCAGGTGGGACGTCAAACGAGGCAGGGGCAAACGGCCACCCACCTGCCTGCGCGCGCCAGATAGCAAGGCCATGGAGTCGGCATGGGTGCGAAACCGTCGTCAGCTGCTCGCCTGCCCCTGAACCACCACCTCGACGTGCCTGAAGCAGCAACGTGGTCCGCGCCCAACCGACCAAGCTGGTTCCTGGCTAAGCCCGACTAGCACACGTCAAGCCCGACGCTCTCTACATT